TTGGGGTCGATGGACAAAAATTCGCATAGCGGGTGGAAAAAAGAATTTAGAACAATTCTAACTGCAATTTTGTAGTGAGGATAGATAGTACTTTCGATGGTAGGAATATAAAAGAAATCTATTTTTCGAGCCCAGATCGAGTGGCACGCTGTTACAGAGACGCCCTCTTAACCTCGCCACCAAGATAGAAACGGCTTATCGTTATAGATTCTTTCAGGTTCGCTTTCGTTGTCACGTGACTAACATTTCCAAGAAATCAAAAGTGTTTTAAAAATTAATAAAAGAAAGCTCGTTTCAAGTATTTAAAAAGCATTGTCACCAAGATGAACAGAATTTTGCCTATTTTGTCCGGATTTCGTATTTAGAGTTTATTAGACGTCTATTAGGCGTCGGTGAACTGGTAAAAATTTACAGCTGTATTTTTCCCAATCTCTCTGAACGTCGGCTGATAAATAGATTTTTGTGACAAAAACATTGCAAAACTGGAAAATAAGTTTGAGGAAAGGTATATATACAGGTTGTTACTATGACAACGCAGTTTGTTTTGTCTGATTTTCATTYAAATTACCAACCATGCAGTAACCTTTAAATAATATCTGATTTGATAGCAATTACAATCCAGAAAACTGTTTTTAATATTATTTAATTAACAACTGCAAATAATATTCCTAGTATTAGTTCATTATTTTAAACATTTCTTAACGCGACTAACGATTTTTAAAATATTAAGCAGATGAATCACTAATAGATGTCATACGAAAATAGAAAATAGTGATTTAGTGGGATAGGAATTATATTAAAAAACGAAAGAAGATCACTGAAGCTAACTTTTTCTTTTGTCTTTTAATGTATTCCTTTCTCGCTAAATTACTAATCTTCTAATATCGCATGACAACGTTCTTGCAAGTAGGTGTATCTCATTTTAGATCATTCTAGATTATAAAAAGTGTTTTGGTAGACGTCAATCAAAGATTTCCATGGCATTTTTCAAGTGCACGTGACTACGGGAATGTCATAGAAACGTCTTGATTGACATCTATCAAGACCTACTTCGCCACGACGAAGATTACTCTTGACAAGCACTAAAAACTAATTCATTCCTTCTTCGAGTTTATTCTGAATTGTATTATTTAAAATATTTAGAACAGGTTCTCTAAAAGAACTCAATTTCGTCATTGAATTGTAACTTCTGTGCGACTCCTCCGCTCTGGCCGTCAGCAGTCGTAGACTTCATTGGCGTTAGTTCGGCAACGGAATCACCAAACTGAAAGGAAGAAGTCCAGATACAATCATGAAAATTTGTCTAGATATTTGAAACAGCGTGCACAGATTCGCTACCACTACCCGTTCCCTCCCCTTCCCTCCCCTCCCCTCTCCACCCTTCCCCTCCCCACCCCACTCCCAAGTAAGACAAATCGGGAAATTGTCTAGTGTATCATACTAAAAGTGCCTCCTAATTTTGTCGCCTGCAACCGTTGTAAGAAGTAGAAATGAGTTCTACTTTTGCGAAACAAAAYTGCTAGACATTGCCTAGTGTAACATACTTCTTGCAACTTGTCTCGCAACGATTTGTTATGACAGACAAAGATATTTCATCGGGCGTAAATTATTTATTACCCTAACATTACAGTCTAATGTAGGACACAAGTTGCATGAAACATTGCCTGGCGTAACATACCATGTTGATGCAACTGCAACGCACTGTCTTTTATCGCGCAACAGAAATGCAGACGAGTTGCTAGAAAATTTGCTAGAAAATCGTAACAGCACCTTAATTTTTTCACATTTCAGACTACCTGTCATTCCCTTGAGAATTACTTCAATATTTTTAATTTGTAATAACTTATTTCTATGCATGTTGGCTGAATAAAGAAATAATCCTCAAGGGGAATGACACGCGCTACAAACTAGGACAGGTAGCATACCTTGGGCGTAGTGCACTCTTGACCGAGAGTCCATTGGAAGAACGCTCTGAAAAGGAAACGTTAAACAGTGTGTTCCAGGAGTGCCATGCATCTTTTACTTTTTTGAAGACCAAAGAACACGCGAGAAAAACCTTCGAATCTAGGGAGGTCCAACAAACTCTAGTCACGTGATGCCGAGTCGAACAAGGGATAGCCTGCGTAGCGACCCTCAATAAATTGTGGGGTTGGGATTCAGAGGGAGACGATTTATTGAGGGAGATGAGAAGCGAGTGCAGTTCCGTTATACTACCCTTGATTCCCCTTTCATAAGTTCCGTTTCGTTTCGTGTTGCATCTCTCATATTCTTCAAGGCCTTTTCCACCTGGATTTCAATCCTCTTCTCTCCGAAAAACCGCTATGCGAGTTTGCCATGCCCTTAGGTTTCACAAATTTCAATGTTTATTTTAGGGCAAGATAAAGTTCAAACTGAAGGTAATATTTGTCACACTTACGCTTTCGCTTTCTCTATACTGTCTTCGTCCCTTTTGCGACAGTAGATTCTCATGTGTTGTTCGGCAAAAGACTCGGGTAGGAGCCGAGAAACCTGCGAACAAATAACGAAAGTCACACGACACATTCTCGAATGGAGCATGACAGTAATGCGCATGTTCGGAAAATCGTAACCGATACGAACTCTTGCCGATGCCAATCCTATCCTAGTTTTCTTTGCAGTCGTCATTAGCGTCGACCCACTATAGGCTAGTCCCAAGGCTTTATGGGAAGCAAATGCCATCCCAATGTACACGAACACATTAAAATCTGCCATTTCCAGTGTAAACAGAAAATTTCTCTGGCGTAATTTAATCGAAGAAATAGGATAAGTACCACGAAAAACTACACTGCCCATAAAAAAACATTCTAAAACATATCTTACACATTCTTCCAAGAGCCTGCGTTCCTCCTCGTCGGCACCTTCTCGTGTTTCTAGCTGCTGGCCACGAGGAACGCAGGCTCCAGAAGTAAGATTGAGCACCACAGTAATACAAGTTCTGACCTGATCTTTTCTGAATCTCATAGCCTGGGAAGGATTTTCCTTTGTGTAAAACCGCAAATTATCGATTGGATTCTGGTTTTTCATGCCATAATCGAATGTAATCAACTGCAATACAAGAAAGTAAATCAAGTAAGATGACATTTCGATTCCCAGCGTAGCGGAAGGCATGGACTGATCATGACAAGAAGCAGAAGCTTCACTTTAGATGTGAGTAGAGTTTGGAGGTCACTCCATTGATTCAAAGAGGTTTTTCTTCGGCCTAACAAGCGAAATTCCAATTCTATGTGTGAGTTGGCTGTGCCCTGACTTTGATCCGAGCCCAGAGATCGTTTCAGGGTTTGGTTTGTGAGTTAGCCATGCCCTGAATGTAATCAGCCCAGAGGTGGTTTCAGGGTATCGATGAAAGCTGAAGGATTTTCTAATAGATATAAATTGATAACAACACCTACATGAACAATAATGTCTTCTGGTTCCAGTTGTGTACCACTTGCCATGTCAGGAGGTACGCTGTCAGCGATGTCTTTAGAAATATCGTGTGCCTCTTCCTACGAAGCCAAGGGAAGCACAATACAGTAAATGCAATATACCAGCTGCTAGAAAMGGTTTTGTTTAAAACAAAGCCTAAAATCAAATATTAATGTGGTTAAATGTAATTTAGTCTAAGTTAGACTCGAGGTCAATGACATCTCGCAGTAGCGTTTTCCGGACGCGTACCGCTATCTCCGCTGTCAACGCATTTATTACCTCACGCGATCGTTGATCGACTCAGCTAGCATTGTTTATAGCATGTCGCAATCTATTCTAGTCGATCACTKTGGCCTGTATGAGATATGGATCATAGCTATCATTACGAAATACGATAAGACGCTACACACGTGATCACGCTAGCTTAATGCCAACCACGCGAACCTTTATTCGCCATCGATATCTATCGCTAGCACTCGCTATACGAAGCTATTACGCTATTACGCTATTACGCTACAACACGAGTTTAATTTCCCGCCCGCCATCCCTACCATTGGTTCAGGTAAGTAGAGGTAAATATTCCATTGACTGGTCGCGGTCAATGTGACAGGTGTTAGGTGGGTGGTGACATGGTGACYATGGTTACCGCTAATTTGTGCCTGGCTCCGTCCATCCCACCGAATAAGCCCCTAAGGCCAAGCTCATCATTAACGATGAGTTTAATTTGTTCTTAAATATCATGCAAGCGAGGCGAATAAGTCAATAGATGGTTTTTCCTTGGGCGTAATGCTTTCCGATCTCAGACCACGTGTCATTCTCCTTGAAAATAATTTCTATGTTTAACGGTTGCGCATGAAAATACATGAATATAGACACGACTCCAACAAAGAATCTTATTATCAAGAATGACTTCGTATGAATTGGGGAAATATTACGCCCAAGGTAAAGTGGTCTAGAACTTGRCCCAATTTTCTCAATTACTATAAAATACAAGGCACATATATTGGCGTGTGTGTTAGTATTCGCCCCAATTATCCTTTTGATTCTGTCCTTGTTTGTCGCGCACTCGAATGACGAGAAGATTTTAAGTTAAGTTAAACCGCTGACCACAATGTCGTCACCTACTTTTTCTCTCGGCTTTTTCAAGATGGTTTGTCCTATACACTTGTATAACGATCGACATTCAACTAACTGTAAAATCTTCTTAGCCTAAAAGGAAAAAAAACAATCACAACATAAATACATTCTCTATATGTCATGAAATATCAATGGAAAAGTAAATCCTGGAGATTTTAAGTGTGATTTTACTCATATGGGAAAACAAAGTTGGGCTCCCTGTGGTTTTATAAAACAATCATACCTCTTCTAGTCGTGAATCACTGCCATGAAGTATTTGGTAGTAGACTTGGTCTGTTACCTTGGAATAAGCCACCATGTCGTCTATCGCTTCAGACATCTTCAGCTTTTTTCTACATTGGAGATGAAAAACATGTACAAATTGAATGACAATTATTACATGCATCCATGAGTTTCGACAGGACTAATTCAGCGGTTAAATCGAGGGCTCACTCCATTTACACAATTACGTGTATTCTTGGGGTGTATGTTACGACATAGCCTCCATGTTGGTTGACTAAACAAAGCATTTCTCATTAAGCTTTTCTTGTTAGATCAACTGAGATGGCGGCTGTTTCATCGTTTTTAGTATCTCAAAGGAATTTTTGGTCATGTGGTTGCACTTTAAAAATAAGAAATTACAGCTTTCTGATTGGTTAACGTGTCAAAAAGGTGTGTGGCACAGAGGATTTTCTTACCCGTCTTTTCCCTCAAATAGAAGATACGGATTTGCTTTCAATAAGGCTTCGGTCATCCTTTAAAGAAAAGATATGGAAGAAAAAAAAAMAACAAGAAATTAGTTTGTTTGCCAGAACCAGTCTCTCAAGATACAGTAATTTGAATAGTCCCTCTCACAGTTCCCTGCGCCATCTTGGAAAGTAGCCGTGCCTTTGCATCGAAGCGAGACGAACGGCGAGCTTGGTAATAATAGAGACGTGAATAATTGTTCAAGGTTTTAAAAAGGTCTCTATTAATGCAAGCTTAACGTTCGTCTTGCTTCGTTGTAAAGGCACAACTACCTTTCAAGATGGCGTAGGGAGCTGTGAAGGGGACTATTGTTGAGTTGGCAGCACAACCCATTAAAGGCATGATGATGATAGAACCTAGAACAAAATGAACCATGTTCGTAACTTTAGAAATTATTATTTCAGAAGCTATTGCATTGTTTCTGTAGTGTGCCCTAGAACAGAAAACTGTTCTAGATAACTGTCGGTATCACAGTGTGTCCTTACACTATTAACGAGGAGCTCCCGATACTTACATGGTTTCAATAATGTTGGATGTCTTGTGTTGATAAGCTCGTATAAACAGACAGAACCGTGTGTGGAACATATCGTAGATGTTGCCAGCTTCCTTGTCTCGTACACAGATCTGTAACTTGTTTTCTACGTTGATAACTCGAGCCATCTTGATAAATCTCCTGTTCAAGAGCAATAAGGGTCGTTATCCTAAATTTGCGGCGCTGTAGAAGGGTTGCGAGATGCCGCAAGTCAACGCTCAACGAACTCAAGGCTTCAAAGATGAGAGGCGAGTGCACTATTGCAATGCTACCCTTGAGAATGGTAAACTATGAGAAAGTAATCTAACCAAAAATACAATACATGTTTGTACTCAAGGCAAGTGCTCAACCAGTAGAATTCTTACTTGTGATCAAAAGAGTTTTTGATGCCGAGGTTATGACAGTCGCGAGCAAAGTAGTCCCACTTATCAACATCAATGCCTGTCCTCTTGTTGGCCACAATCTTGGAAAAAAGGAATGCAAATGTGTCAAAGAAATCAGTAACGACTACTCTTTACTGACTGGCTAATGCAAAGGTTATGCATATTCCTTTTGGTCTGCCGTACCAAATCTAATCCATCCCGTATCTTACAACTTTTTCTTCGGGTATCCCGCAATCCCATAATCCCTATAGCGTCATCACCTAACATGTCAGCCTGGTCATTTGTTTTTTCCTTCTCTTTTCAAATATCGTAAACCAACTATACCTCATATAAATAGCTCTTGCACTTTTCTCTACCGAAGTAAGGCCAGTCCTATAAGAAAAGGACTGGATTAGAAATTATACCATAACCACCTACGTTGTTCCTCTAGATTTAACGTACACGTCGCGTCATTTGTAGTAGTTATTTTATAGTTTTCTCTTTCTCTCTCTGACCAGGAGGTCCTGATGGTAAGCAGTTTTTCCCTCTCTAGGCTGACTTTTAGACGGTGAATAACTTTTTTTTTCATTTACTTTTATGCTTCTTTTTATAATTCGTTTTGGTATTTAGCAATCCGCTATCAAGGGATAGTAGACCGCGGTCAGACACAGAAAATATTACCGCTCCAACAGCAAATCAGAACGCACAGTTCTTAGGATACCGTACTGTAAAAAGATAAATATCATATGATTTATGATTTGTTTCGATCGTGATAAAAAGCCCGCCAAAAGATTCTCAATCCAGTTACCTCTCACAGGGTTCGTGCAGGGGTAACCACTTAAAAAATTCAAGGACTATTCAAGGAGTATACAAGGACCCAAAAAATGAATTTTCAAGGAGGATATCCAGCTAACTATACCAAGGTTTTACACAGTGGTTGCACATGGCCAACGTTAAGATTTTTCGACATTTCTGACTAGATCTATTTCAGAACCATGCAAGTAATGAACAATGCAAAAAGTTTCAAGGAGTTTTGCTAACATCATAAAATTCACTTAAAGCTTTTCAAGTGCCCTTACATTAAATTCAAGGAACTTTCAAGGAGTTTAAGGAGTAGCACGAACCCTGCTCTCATAACTGATATGGTTTATCAAAACATTAGACTGAATTGCTGGCTGTCGTGTTGGGGTGGAGGGGGAGTGAAAGAGAAGTAAATATAGTTATGTAGAAACAATTCCAATTCAAACCTGAGTTCTTGCTGGAGTATCACCACGTGGGCCAGCAATCAGCTCTTTAATGAATGTCAGATCCTGCTGATCTAGATCATACTTCACGAATTCTTGTTTCAAGTTGTTGGAGTCCACAAGATAATCGAACATTTGCACACTTGCCTCTTCGTGCTGCAGGGGGGAAATTACATTCACAACAGTATTCCTGATTGAACGGTGCCAGATATCATATGACCAATTTGTATGTTAACATACAAAGTCCTGCGCCAGTTTGATGATTCATGATTGATATTAAGCGCCTTCTTCGTTATTGATATAATCAAAGGCGCTTAAAATGAGTTATTAATTTATGAGAGATGGTTAGTATGAGGTGTAAGCACTGAGGGTGGTCACTGCCAGGGTTTCTTTACGTGCTCAGTGGTTCTCTTACGTCCCTTCTATATTAGTTAGTAATGATGAAGTGTCGAAAGATGGGACCGCCATTAACGTGGTCATCCGAGCCACTTGAAAATCTTAACATTTGTAGATGTAGCAACACAGCACTTTGATCTCAAATATTTTAATATACTACCCCCTTTATCGCTTAACCCCCTCCCCTGCTYCATCAGTATGCCCCTGATTTAACTTAAGGTTAACAAACCTTCCAGTGGATTTCAGGTCTTGCAGCTGGAATAAACTGCCCATCGAACATGTGCGAAAATGGTCCATGTCCTGGAATGCATTCAATAACACATCACTTATCAATAATGTTTACAATAATTGGCAGTAATCAGGCAACTCAGAAAAAGCTACCATCCTTCTATTAATTATTTACATGTTTTATACACAAATTAAACAGATTTATCCATGAAAAAAACACAAAATGTAAGAATTATAAATTGATATTTAAAATATTATGATAAATAATAGTAATATTAGTAATTAATATCAAAAATATCTTCGAGTTAGAGAACACAACTCTCTACTTTTAAGAATTAAGAGTTAAAATTTCTCGAAGTGTCTTCCGAAGACATAGTTTTAGAGTTGATAAAGTTGCAATGTACTTTAATGTTATCTTACCTAAATCATGACAAAGTCCTGCAATTATAACACTCAGAACATCTTTTTCTTTTATATCCAATTCTTGCTGTCTTTTCTGAAGGCTCTTTACAAGCTTTCCAGCTAGATATGACGTCCTGATGTTAACAATTTAAAATATAAACATGTTTTTTATGTGTCTGTCCTCTTATTGACGATAAATTTCATCTACATCTACATTTTATTGAGTTGATTGAGAAGGGGATTGTCTCCCGGTTCAACAGCCTATCCCTGTCTGGAGGCATAACACTAACGTACTAATAAATCACTGTCTCATGATTGTAAGCTGCACGGCTGCCAATAGCGCCTAAATATGCAGCCCGTAAAGTCCTCCACTGCAATGTAAAAGCGCATTGAAACCATGTGAAATGTGCTATATAAGCACCACCATTTATAAAATCGGTAAGATATCACATCAACTATAAAGCAAAATAGCTACATATAAATATAAGAAATACTAAAAATATATTAAATTAAAAAAACACGAATAGAACCATGAAAAATTAGTTTTGCATAAAGGTAAGATATAAATATCTTCAAATCACGAAATAAATAATGATAAATAATATAAAAAATATATTCAATATTATAAGATCCTTATACTACCTATTTTAGGTAGGTCTCTAATTTAGACTTAAATAGAGCTAGTGTCATAAAGTTTATGGTTTCTGCGGGTAGAGAATTCCATTCTGGAATTGATCTAGGAAAAAAAGAAAACTTAAAAAACATTCTTAGAAATTTTTGGCATCCTATATTTAAATGAATGGCTTTTGCAAGTTCTTGTTTCATTGTTTGGTATTAAATATTATTCTCTTGGGAATGATTGCAAACCAGCAATACTGGATCATAAAATTTGTACTCACCCTATTGAATGTTCAAATCTATTGTGAGCAGCACCGGGGAAAACAAAATAGCATCCACCTAAACAGTCAAAAGTAACAGTCATTATAAATATTAATAGACATCTTTAGTTTGGACACAATGTTTTGTATTTCTGACCATGTCTCATCCTCAAGAGTATCTTATTTTTTTAATATTTTAATATTTTTTAAACAATTTTCTAACCTAATTCTTTTCAACTTTTTGAAGTTGAGAAGAACGTGGATGCACCTTGAACATAGAATATTATTCTCAAAAGAATGACACATGGTATCAAATTGCCAAATTGGTAAAATGGGGGGTGGGGAGGATATATTTCCAGGCTTATTAACTATGGTAGGGTCCCATTGAAAACCATCCCGTTATCTTGTATTCTGTATATTATGAACATTTTCTCTGTTCCCTAGGAGGTTGGAGGTAACAGGACCACCAAATAACTTACAAAGAATGAAGAAAACATTTAAACTGATTCATAGTTCACCTAGTTGTTTAATGTTCCTTAATCTTTGGAACTGTGGTGTGTCGATGATCTTGATGCAGAGTGGATGCACTTCAATGTGACCATGAACTGGATCATTAAAAACCTGTACATAAAAAAATTAACATTAAGACAATACCCAACCTTCTTGTTTGATACAGAACACTATTTCATGGCAACAAACTTAATTATGCAGGTTTAGATGTATAGACTCATAGAAAAWTTTTTTTGTAAATATTTTGTTAATATTTATTTATCATATTAATATTATTTGTTATTAATTTAACACAGAACACTGTTTTTAATGGTAAGTGACTTGTTTAAACAGGTTTAGTCCCGTAAAATAAAATAGAAATATTATAATTTTTATTTTATTATTAGTTTTTATTATTTCTATGATTATTTTAATACATTCATGTTATCTTATACAAAACACATTTCCAGGAAAATTACTTCTGGTATTTTTATTACCGGTCAACAACATATTGTTGCCCAGTGAGAGGGAAACATCAGGACTTGTTACCCTCTTGCCCAATCAGGGTAACAGAAAAATGGACTTTGATAGTTGGTGTGCGACAAAAGAAATATTACATAGCAACCATAAGGCAGTTACACAATGTGATATTCTATTAAGAGATTGCATTTCCCAAAGGAGAAGGCAATTGCTTTGCCTTCTTACCTTATGATAACGCTTAACTGACTGTGATATTGACGTAGATGGCTTATTAAATAGTCCAAGTAAAGCCACAATTCTCGAGATCTTTTCTTCGTCCCTAAAGATAGAATCAATTAACTATTGACTAGACTTGCACTCAAAAATAATTCAAATATATATTTAACATTGAATTAGACCCACATTAATTAGACCCACAATCCAAATGGTCTACAAGTCAATAGCCCATGAGGCTGGAGGTTGTACACCATTTAAGCCTTTGGTCTAAGTTTTTTACTCTTTACATACTAATCTGTCAAATAAATGGATACAAACAATTTGAAAAGTAGATCAAAAACAAGAGTTAGTTTACATTATTTGTTGCCATGGTTGTCAGTTTTTGCTACTAGTGGTCTATCACTAATAGACAATTGGTATCACAGCCAATCAGAGGAGAGGGTTTTTGATACCATTACTACATTAACACTGATTAACATTGCATTTTCTATAGCCTATGCTGTTATACTCTTATATTTATTTGCCGGATATCTATATTTTATCATGTTTACCTTATTCCAAATTCTTGCAATGATGACCTATTTAATGTTGGAAGAACTTCTCCAGTTACATCGTTTTCTAGAAATATATTATTAATAAATTATTAATACAGTTAATATGGCTTAAGGGTACCCCCTAGGTTCTATTAATGATTTCATTATTTGAATATTGAAATTTATTATTCTTTCTGAGAATACAAAGTAGAGTGCATTCAGTCAAACTGTTGAATAGTTAGATAAATGTATCTCAGATATATATTTAGTTGACGTCAGCTAAAATAGTAAAAATGTGCCAAATAGAGGTCATGCTAATCCGGATGTTGTTTTACCAGAGAATGAGTGAATAGACATTCATTTGTTTTCATCGTTTCYCCCCCTTGATCTCAGTAGCTGTTTACTCGTAATTTGAAATTTAGTCGATGTCACCTAAAATAGTAGCTAACTTATCTAATTTAGGTGACGTACACTCCTGGGGGGGGGGGTTGGGTACTCTCATATATTGACTATACAGGGTAATACATATATTGACTATACTAGTAACCTTGCATGCAGAGCTGAGTTAGGAAGGTTTCCGCTAAAATGCAAAGCATGCAGTAGAAGCTTTAAATTCTGGCATAAAATTATAAAGTCGGAACTACA